AAAAGTTTTGACTTTTTTTGTGGTGGCGTTGATGGTATGTATGCCTTTGAAAAACAAGCCAAGATCAGTTTCCCACTGATATTGCTGTGCTGTAGTGCCTGGCCGCGAGAAGAGTCGGTGTGGGGTTTGCCAGGGTGCTGATTCCACACTGCAAGGGATGCGAGGTTTGTGGTGGTGGTGGCGGTCACGGCAGGCGTTACATCGAAAGTTTGGAAGAAGCCAAAAAACATTACACTATAATAAATAGTTCGTAGCGAAGCAACCCCCGTCTTCTCCCAGTGGTTTTGGAGTAGTCGGGCACTGCTGTTGATGACAACCACAGCGTTTGGCGGGTCGTTGCCCTGTTTATGCCCACGTGCTGACCAAACCTCCCCCTTGCTTTGATAAAACAATCATGTATCCAATGCTGTTCTACCCGCTTGCTCTCCACAGCTGCCAGCGCGGAGTGCGCCCGGGAGGCGGAAAAGGTGACCGGTTTGAAACCCTTGGTAGGCGCCGGGAAGCGGGGGGGGCGGGGGCCGGGAAGGGGAAGGACTTGGCGAGGACGAGCCAGCTCGGGCCCAGCAACCCGGGGGAGAGCAGGAGGGAGGGCAGGCGGCGGGAGAGGGGAGACTTAATATGTGCGAGGCCGGTAAGGGGGGGGGAGGGATGAGGACTATCGGCGAGGTCGGGGAGAGTCTTGCCATCGGGAGTCGACACGACTCATACCTGGCGGCGCCGGTTGGAGCAGCACGGTCGAAATGGAGAGCGTTTTATCGGCGTGCGTGTGGGGTTCCGTGCTGCGCATGAAGGGACACTCCAGAATGTGGGGATGGTTCCTTTGATCATTGATGACAATAAAATGATCATTGATGACAATAAAATGATCACTGATGACAATATATGGAAATGTTTCTTCGTTCTCTAGACTAGACATAAAACCCGGCGCAGCACCATGTTGAAAGCGCGGATTCGACACTTGAGTGGTGGCTTTCTTATTGCCAAGAACGAGCGAGGTGGCAAGGCAACCGGTCTTAAAGAATCCACATTGACACCTCTCCGTGAGTCCCGAGTGAGGGCATCGTGCGGCCTGCTTTTTGCGCTTAACGCAACCTCCATGAGGCCGCCGACAACAGTAATGCCGCTGCTTCCACTAAGGATACAATTTCACAAGGGTCCGTGACACAACTTTTATTAACATGACATACAGAAACACAGCGGCCAATGGCAGGATCTAAACAGGCAACAGCCAACAGCAACGCATAGTCCCCTCTTCCGGAACGGCATTGCGTCGGTGCAGTCATGCTTGTTTCGACGCCTTTTTGTCTTTCGCGCCGCGCTTGGCCTTGGACTTCCCGCCGTCCTTCTTCGCGGCGATTTCCCGCTTGAACTGCTTGGTTTTCACCGTCACCAAGAGCGATGCCGTTTGGCAAAGCAAGCTCACCTGAAAGGTACACAAAAGAAAGAGAGAGGTACAGCAAGTTGCAGTGCATTGGAAGCAAAGGCTGCGACGGATTTATTACGGCATTTGCTGGCTAGATTCGCGTGCATGATTTTGCTTTTTCAAGCGCTGCCTGCCGTTTGGCAACCACTGCTGGTAAAGCTTAGTGTGGAATATATCATGTTTGGCTTCGGAAAATTGCAAAGTGAGTGCCCTTGACAAAGCGTACACGAGAAAACACCGTGCCTGCCACGGCTGGAGGGATAGAACAGCAGGACTTGGATTACACTTCGCCAGCTGTGGAACCCTTACCGCCGGTTTCCCGCAAGGAGAGTGCGCTCTGAACCTAATCTGTCATGACGGACCCGAAACGGCATGTCCGACCATTGCTCTAGATGTGCTCCGGGGCAGACATTCTTCCAAGCGTGGTCAAAACATGTGATCGGACGTGGAAGTTCTGCCAAACGTCAGGCGTAAGATTCATCTGCTTTTTTCATTGTCTTGGTCCTGCCTTGTCCTCGCCTCAAAACTCACCAGCATCGTGAAGCCCAGTATCAGCAGCGGCCCGGCCCACATTACCCCCATGAAGATGCCGTGCTCGTCGAAGTAGTTCTGCCTCGAAAAGTTTTGCCAGCGATCCCGGAGGCACGTGTTGATGAACTCGCTTAACCTTGTCCCCGTGAGTACTACCGCGAACAGCCCGACCTTCGCCGCGCACCGAACAACGATAAAGATGAACATATTCGGCAAGAATTTAACAACAGCAGCAGTCACCAGGAGCTGGACGCAGAACCGCCACATATCGGTTGCGACAAGAATCACACACAAGGGAAAATATGTTCGTTGGCAGAACATTGTCCGTTGGCAGAACATAGGAGGGGTTGGGGCGGCGTACTCTGCCCTTCGCTTGCAACGGTTGCACAAATCGAGCCAACTCGTAGTGCACGAAAAGACCAACACACTTGGGGCGGACGTTCTTCGTGGTTCTGGCCTCCCTGTCCTTCTCCGCGTATGATGACCGGCGTAAGGTATAGGGCGCGGGGTGCGGTAAATGACAAGTGGCATTCGTCCATGTCTATGCTTTACCATATTTTTTGCGGAGTTTTGGTGGCCGTGGCATATATATCTCCGCCGATGGCATCGAATTTCCCGAAGAAGGGTATGATATCTACCGCTGCGCCATGGAGGCGTGATCCTGTCAGGAGCTACACGCCGCCAACACCAAGCTAACCGCACGAACGCGTGATAACACGATAGTTGAAACGGCTTATTCCGTAGGCTGCATAAGATACCATACCCCCTGTGGACCGATTTTCACAGTCTGACTACAGTACTCTGCAGCACAAACAGCAGTAGCGGTGCCGAAAATGGCAGCGTTGGAACCGTGTCGTTCCAGAGCTTTCCGAAAACGCATATTTTGGTCTTGGCATGCTCTTCGTCGTGGAGTAATCGAGCTTCGAAAATCTGTCAAAGGGGGTGTGGTATCTTATGCAACCTACCGTATGGTATGCATGCATGCTGCGAGATGTATCCGGTCTCATTGGGTAACTGTGGGGAGGAATGATACTTCGGCAACGGCAGTGTAGACAACAGAACCACTGCATGGTGCTGGCTAGGATGCTACAATGGTATTATTCCTGTGAAAACAGCTGGTGTTGTGGGCACGCGCTCGTTGGAAAACAAGCACGTGTGTCACGTTTCACGTTTGTTTTACGTTTCTACATCTACGCCACAACCACCAGTACAGCACTGTGATAATTTCTTTGATTTCATGAACGGGAATAAACCAACACACCTGGGCGCCAAAGCTCCTCCGCGTAACAATGAAAAATACCCATAACAACAGATGGAACACCAGGATGCCCTGAATCCATGGCTCGCTCCAGTCCACGGCAGAGCGGAAGGCTGGCACGTGCGGCGGAATCAGGCAGGAGGAGCAGAGGAGATAACATGCGGTGGTTGTCGACGGAAGTCACAGCTGATTTCATTTCCAATCGTTGGTACCGCCAAGCATGTGGTTAGGGGCATCACCACTCCTTGAGCTGTCCAAGATACAAGCAGGCCTTTGCTTACACGCAGCAGCGGAGATTGCTGCTTCTCTTGATTCTTCAAACATTCAAATCTACACACAGAGCGATACTGTAGCCAAACTTTTCGCGATGCGCGGAGGAATCCAAATCCTTTACATGGATTGCACATTGCACACAGACCGAATCCCTTGCCCAGAGTAAGGCCTCGCTCTAGGCAAGCGCATATGGGGCGACTGAGCAATCCCTCGCGTGTCATTCATACCTTGAAAGTTCTCGACGAAGCCCTCGGGACCAACGCTGTGCGCGTTGAGTTGACTGAGCAAGTTCGCCTGGACGTCACCCAGGAAGCCGGTGAAAGCATCTCCATGCTGCTCGAACTTTTCGGCGAGGGCCTCTTCCCCCAAGCCTTCGGCGATGGCCTGATCTACCTTCTCCGCTACGGTAGCCATCTGCCTCACGTCTCGCACACGCAGCAGAGTAGACAACAAGCACCGCACCACCCACCACAGTTACTGCATCAAATCAAAAGGGGGCACCGCGAGTTGAGAGTTTTGGGTCAATACCAATCGTCGATCCCCCTGCTGTAAGGACTGCTGTTGCAGAGTGCGGGCGTACTGCAGCAGCAGCAGCAGCAGGAGTAGCGGCACGGGACGGGGGGTGAAGTCGTGATGGAATCACTTCGTTGTAGGTTGCTTGCGTTGTTTGCACTCGCTTTCGCCTCTTCGGCTGGGTTCATGGTACCAGTGCCGCCAACATGCCACAGCAAGAGAGGCCGCGGACACATGATGATGGCTTCCGACCAACAAGAAGGGTACGTTTTGTATGTTGTTGGTTTTTGACGCCTCATGAGGTAGCTTCACTGCTGCAGTACAGATCACCCCCCGCCCCTCACCTGCTGCGCGTAAGTGTGCTCGCTTTGTTTGCCGGCTTCTCGGAGGTGACTCGCGTTATTGTGGCTCTTCGTCGAAGTTGCGATCCACCCGGAAGGTGCGGCAGGACTTTGCATTATGTTTTTGGCACCCGTTGACGGAGAGGCTGCGCATGAGGATCTAATGAACACAATGAGCAATGGAGAGTGCGGTGCTTGGGTGATATGACTGCTGTAGACACATAGAGTGTCCAGTATCACGATTCGTTCGTTGGCGGCTGGGTTTGTTGGTGAAGACGTGTTTGACGATTGCTGCTGTAGCACGCTTTTCCTGCTGTTGGTGAACGTGGACTGCTCCATGAATGAGTAGACGTAGGTGACAGAGCAGGTGTCAGAAAAGTACAGGCGAGATGTGTTGCCAAAAAGCTCGGGAGTCTCGGATTCTCCATGTCGCCATAACTACAGTAGTGACCTCCGAAGCCCCTTGGCCCCAATGCTAAAATGCAAACATGATGATGGTTCATTCCATGCTCCAACACACTGAAAATGACAACAAATCGGTGGCACACGGCCATGTTGTGCACACTATACTTTACATGCAGCAGTAGGGCAAGGTGAGAGGGAAGTGTGAAACGCAAGACGCCTGAAAATCGAAACAAGAATCGAGCCCTGCTTGGCTGGAGAACGAGTAACTCACGACGACTGTGAGGATACATATGCACGCGCGGTGCAATGTGGAAAACCCGTGAAGAAGACCTAATTTGTTACTAACTCGTGCGGAACAGCAGCTGTTGCTGCTGTTGCTGTTTCCTTGGCTACAGCTAGGAATGGCAGCCGTGGGGGAGAGATCAGCTCCCTAGAACAGGGGCTACTTGATCCTGTCCCCTGTTTTATCGTTCCATTGGGGGAGTTACATCTCCCCGCACCTCCTTCAGGTATCATTCTCTTCTATGTTCCGCCTACACGTCTAAATCCAATGTGAACACGACGCCTCTTTGAGTTTGAGAAAATCCTTACTACAACCTCGTGCATTCTATTTCGAAAGGCTCTGCAGACCGGAGGTTCAATCCGTGGGCAATAGTCGAATTCAATCAGTATTCAGCCCACCGCTCTCTGACGTTTTGACTCTTCCCGGTTTGAAGGCCAATCTTTTGTTCGGAACACGTTCGGCACCCGGTGCCTCCTCACGTCTGCGGGATTGATTCCTGCGGACCTTGCAACAAACAAACCTCCTCCGGCAGGGTGGTTTTGGTGCATGGTGTTTGTTGCTCTCGTTTCTTCCCTCCGTGTTTTTCTTTTCGTGCTTGGCAGGGGCGACCAAAGGGCTTGCTTATCTAATGCCGAACCCGGTGGTGGTGTTTCGCTGGTTTGCGCGATTTGATGCAACAATCAACGCCTTTATTAAACCCCGTCGCACGGCACACGGACGGCTACCCGTTGCGTGGTACGGAGAAAAAAGCTTCATTACCGCTGCTGTCTTTCCTGCGACGTAGCAAGAGGACTCTCGCCCGCGGTCCCAGCACCCACCACAGTTGGTGCCTTGTTCCACAGCATTCGAGTTTTGTCATGTGGCATGGTCTTGAACAACAGGTACGTGTCGTGGTTGACGCAGAAGATAGAGCGGGCGAGGAGACCTCCCTTCGTCAAGATTGCAAGAGCGCGGCTGCAGAGAGACTTCGCCGTGCTGCTGATGCGGTCGAGCTACCAGGTGCGCGATGCCGTCTGTCTCATGGAATGAAACAAATGAGCGCAAGAAGGAAAAGCGTTTTTTGGTTGGAGCGTTGAAAACGTGGTGTAAGCATCACCCTGCACGCTGCCGCCGGACGTTTGCCGAGCGCGCTCAGCCCCCCCCCCGCCGCCGCCGCCCGTGCATGCACGCTGTTGCCACGAGCAGGTTGTTGATGAGCTTGACTTCGTTCCGATGGACGATTTTCAGAAGCAGTTTTTCCTGCTGCGACAGGGGGAGTGGCTCGGCTACAAGCAGAATTTCCCGCGGTGAGACCACTTTCTGGGTGTTTATTCTCTCTCTCACCACGTGGCCCCCGCCCGATACTGTCCCCTCTCGCCCTCTGATTGGTGGTGGTACGTGCTGCTAACGTAGACAACCAGTGACGCCGGGCGACGTTTGGACTGGCTGACGCGCCAGCAAGCGAAGCGCGGGCTTGGTTCCACGTCCCCGACGCTGTGCAACACGAGGACGGATACTTCGAAGACAAATGCCCCGTTTGAAGCTCCAATGGTGTCCCTAATACCGTCATCCTCTAGGGAGAGATGAGGAAAGACAAATATATGGATGTGAACAGGGACGTGTTCGACGGACAATACACTCGGAGACAACCATCGCTATTCTTGGAGATGGGTGATAGCCACAAACAGCGGTTGACAAAGAAAGTTAACGGGAAAATGACGAATGAAGAAGAACAGGGTTTTTGGTGCTCGAGTGGTGGGTGTGCTCCCGATGGGACCAGGTACTGCTGCTGTGCTCCGTCTCCTAAAACGATGCGCGCTCAATGGTCACTACATGTTTCAGGGCAAGTAACCCAAGCGAGTGTACCCTGTTCCTCTTCCAACCTTCCCTGCTCGTCCATTCACAAACGTCGACATGCCGTCATCTGTTTTGTGCCCCTTGAACGACACATTTCGTACGCATGCGATGCCACAACACACGCACTACAACGCGGTGATCGACGTACAAAACCAGAATAAAGCAGGGCGATTTGGCAGACCCGGATTACTTCGACTTCATCAGCTTCGCGCAGTACGCCTCCGTCGCGGAGGCCATGAGGAACGGCCGGGACTTCTTCGAGGAGAAGGTGGGGGCCGAGGGCGAGAAGAGGACCGTACAGCGGAGCGCCGACTTCAAGGACAACGCCCGACTACCGGAGGAGCACGCGAGGAGGGTCGGAGATAGGATATTGGTAAGCGCGTCTGAGTTTCGAGCTGGACTAGGGAGGTGGTGTCGGGACGATTCCGGGCTGGGCGGGGCGGGGGGGGGGGGGGGGGGGGGAAAAGGGGACTCCCCTGGAAAAATTCTTTAACTTTAATCCCCTAAGGCCCCCCTTGGGGGGGGTTAACCTAAGTTTCCCAAAAAATCCCCCCCCCCGGTCCCATTTTTTAAAACCCCATTTTTGGGCCAGAAAAAAATGAGGGCACCAAAAAAGGGGGCCTTGGAACCCCCCCCTCCAAAACTTTTCCAAAAAAGATTATTTTTCACCCCGCATTCCCTTTCTGGGGGGATAAACCAACTTTTTTTTTTTTTCCCAGGGTAGGGTATTTTGCCCCACCCCCCTTGGGGACCTGGGGATTAAGGGGGGGGTTTTCCCCTTTCCAATTCATTTATTTAATT